CAACAGCCATGTGGAGGCACACACGGCCGACGCTGACGTATGTGCCGACACGCTGAGGAAATGGCGGCGGCACGGGGCCAACGTCGCCGTCGTCGACCTGAAGAGGGCGTACTTGCAGCTCAGGACCGATCGTCGGCTGTGGCCGTTTCAGACAGTCGTGATTGATGGCCAAAGGTACGCTCTTACCCGTGTCGGATTCGGGCTCAACGTCGCGCCTCTCATCATGAAGGCGGTGGTGCGGACGGTGCTGCAACAGGACCCAGTGATGCAGGGCGCCGTCATACCGTACGTCGACGATCTGTGCGTCAATGAGGACGTGGTGAGCGCGGAGCGCGTGATCGCCCACTTCGCGAGCTATGGGCTCCAGTGTAAGCCGCCGGAGCGGGCTGCGGACGGAGCGCGGCTGCTGGGACTGCGTGTGGAGCCAGTCGGGGGTGGGCTGGCCTGGAGGCGTGACAACCCAGTCGGCTCACCGCCCGCGGCAATGACGCGGCGCTCCGTGTTTTCATGGTGTGGTCGTATCGTGGCGCACCTGCCGGTCTGCGGTTGGCTGAGACCAGCGACAGCGTGGCTGAAGCGTCGTGTCAACTCTCTCACACGCGGGTGGGATGACGTCACACACGACGCGGCCCTGCGGGAACAGCTGAAGCACGTGGCTGAGCGACTGGCGAGCGAGGACCCGGCCCGTGGGCAGTGGTGCGTGACTGGGCACCGCGCCGTACTGTGGACGGACGCTAGCTCGATAGCCGCCGGCGTCGTGCTGGAGAGCGAGGGAGGTGACGTCATCGAGGACGCGTGCTGGCTCCGCCGGGACGAGGCCACCCACATCAACATGGCGGAGCTCGACGCCGCCGTGCGGGGCATCAACCTGGCCCTGGCGTGGGACATGAAGACCATCGAGCTGAAGACGGACTCCGCCACTGTTCACCGGTGGGTCAGCGACGCTCTGAGCGGGCGCGCGAGACTGCGAACCAAGGCACATGGAGAGATGCTTATCCGCCGGCGGGTCGACGTCATCAGGCAGCTGGTCGCAGAGCTGGGCATTTCTCTCACCGTGTCTCTAGTCCGCTCGTCTCAGAACCGTTCGGACACGCTGACCCGAGTGCCGTCCCTGTGGTTGCGTCAGGACTCGCAGCCAGCGGACCAGCGGCCGAGCGATGGACAGCCAGTGGCAGCAGCGGCAGTGGTTGGATCGGAAGTGGGAGACGGCGGCGGCGCCGTTACCGTGGACTTCCGACAGGCCGTCACTGACGTACATGTCAGGGCGGGTCACCCGGGTGTCCGACGAACGCTGTATTTCGCGCGTCGGGATGTGTCATCGTCGATTTCCCGGAAAGTGGTCAGGGAAGTGGTGACGGCCTGTGACGTCTGCCGCGCGGTTGACCCGGCGCCGGTGACCTGGAGGCACGGGTCGCTGGCTGTGGAGGGGACGTGGGACCGGCTGGCCATCGATGTCACGCACTACGGTGGTCAGTCCTACTTGTCGGTGATAGACTGTGGCCCGTCACGGTTTTGTGTGTGGAGGCTGCTGCGGCGGTCGGACGCGGCGACAGTCACGAGTGAACTCGAACAAGTGTTCGCGGAGCGAGGCGCACCGGCTGAGCTTCTGGCGGACAACGACACCGCTTTCCGCAGTCGTCAGTTCGCCGCTTTCGCTGCCCGCTGGGGAGTGCTGCTGCGTTTCCGCGCAGTGCATCGCCCCAGCGGGAACTCCATCGTGGAGCGGAACCACCGCAGTGTCAAAGTGATCGCGGCGCGGAAGAAGTGTGGCATCGGAGAGGCCGTGCACCTGTACAATATCACGCCCCGTGACGGCGGGACGGCGGCTGAGGCGCCCGCCAACGGCATCTACCGCTACCCTGTGAGGGACGCCGTGAGACAAAGAGCTACCGCCGGAGCGTCCGAGGAGGCCGTGATAGGACGGCCGCCAGCCCGGCGGGAGGGCGACTTCCAGGTGGGGGACGCCGTGTGGGTGAGGCGGCCGGGCACCCGCTGCACCGAGCGGTCGGTTCGAGGAACGGTGTCTGGCGTGGTGTCGCCGCAGGTGGTTGAAGTGGGCGGCGTGCCTTGGCACATCAGAGACCTCCGCCACTGCGGTGACACCGGGGGACTAGCAGCAGGCCCTCGGACCCTCGACCGGGGCAGCGGGGGCCCACAGGAAGCGGAGGAGGACCGTGCCGGGTCCCCGGTCGTCATGACATTCGGTTATGAGGGCGATGGCGCGCCGGGGCGCCCGGTGGAGGAGGCTGATGATGCGGGTGGTGAGTGCGGCCGGTCTGAGAGCGACAGCGGCGAAAGGGTGGTGCGCCGAGGTCAGCGTAATCGGCGGCCGCCTGACTTCTTCGGCCACGTGGTGCCGATTGATGCGTTAAACAGCAGCAGCGGAAGTGATGATCTTGAGGATCAGGGTGAGGTGTAGTCTGTGTCTTAGTCATTGCGTGGTTCGAGCGATGATGGTGCGCGTCGTATTGCGAGCCAGGGTCTTATGGCGCCGGTGAGTCGGCGGAGGGAGAAATTGATCAGCCTTTGTCTAGGGTTCAGAATGACGTGATATGACGTGATATGACGTGTACAGAGGTATGATCTAGGCTAATGTGGTGAAGCCGGGCAGTGCGCTCCGGGACACGAGCGGGTACGGGTGTGAATAGAGGCATCTGAGTGTACTGGACTTTTGGCATTACTACATTTTGCAAACGACGCACTAGCTTAGCGAGCTAATTATGTTTTTAAGGGTAAAAAGAGCAATGTAATTTGCGCATTGTTAATAGTTCACTAACCTTCTTCCTGCTTTCTAGATCCGTAGTGTCTCTAATCACCGGCAATTAATATTTTGCCATTTTGTTTTGCGCCAGCTATATCGTGTTCTCTTCCTATGCCAGTGTTTTTAATTGGCTTGGAAAAAAGAACCGATGCAGACCCGTCTTATCCCGGCTTCCACTGTTCCTCAAATTGGCATTGGCTAGAGACCGTTGTATGGCGCAGTGCAGCGGCATATAAACAGATCTTGTTTTGTCTGAGCGGCCAAGTCATTTGGGTGTTCCCCATTGATCAATCCCCGGCCGACATCTGCGCTACAGCTACTGAGCATTTTATTACCGAGCCGATAGATGACTGGCGTAATGCGATTGAGATCATTTGCGCCGGTCGCCGGCGATCTGCGATCTACACCTCTGGCCGCTGTTGTTTATTAGGCGCAGCAAAAAGCGGCGGCCGGCTGGCATCTCGACTGGAGCGTGTGCGGCTGGCAGCGGCGCGGTGGCGGCGTCTTTCATCCGCACGAGCGGCAGCCGATTCCATTGGTGTCGGCGCGCGGCTCCGCCAATGGCTGGGCCGGACCTGATTGCCGCCTGTCGCCGACAATTTCCGTGCCCGCTCGGCCGCCACCGTCGGATGGACACTGCCAGACCGACCGCACCGGAGCGACCGAGGGCGCACCGACTGAATGGAGATGCAATATTGCCCAGAGGAGGGGGCCTGTCGGAATGTCTAGCGGGGATGATTGCCGAATGATGTGGTTAATGGGGTTCGGGAAGGCGGTTGCTGGGGCGGTGTCGTCATTGTTGAGTGGAGAAACTCAGAATTTACCGCGGCCATTTGATTCGTTTCAATTCATGTCAAGTAAATAGAGACTCGTCTTCTTGTCATTTTTCTTGTTTTCTGTCTTGGCACATCTTTCCTGTATTGCTCTCGAAACGTTTTGCTTTTGGTTCACGTACGCCCTTTCATATTTCCTTATTTCTTTTGAATGGTATGTTGTGCTGCTCCTTTATTTCCTTCTCATTTCTCTTACGCCCCCTTTCTGTCGTCCCGCTCCGTCTTTATCGTTGTTATGTCTTGCGTTCTTATTTTCGTTTTTCCTCCGCTATCATCGGGATAAGGAATGTCTTCCTGCGGGTGGGGCCGAGCGCTGGTTATGGTGCGCTCAGTCCGGCCAGAGTCGCTCTCCGGTCCGGTATCCGAGACAGTCCCTGGCTAGCCGGGCGGCCACCGCAGGCCAGACGGGACGGACAGCAGAGGACCAGTCGTCCACAATACCCTCAGTCCGGCGGCCAGAGTCGCTCGCTGTTTGTTTGAACGGAACTCCGGGTGGCCGCCGCGACCATATCCAAACACATTCGGTCGAGCCGCACCGTTTGAGCCGGTGCGTGGCCGGGCCGTTTTGTGCAGGATCGGCCGCGTGCCGTCCGACCGACTGACGCGGCTTGTCGACTCACTTCAAAGCCAGACTTCGTGCCGCGTCACTGCAGACGCGGTCCCGGCGCGGCGGCCGGCGCTGGGGCCGCGCCCGGCCGGCGGAGCTGCGCCCGGCTGTTTGCACAGCTCTGCCGTGGCCACCAGACCGGCTGGCAATGCAGATCGGCCGGCCGCCACGGCAACAGGACACTCTAGCTCGGTGACATGATCGACAGCTCGGCTAATGAATTCGTCCGCTGTTTTCACGTATAGAATAGACATCAGGTCCAGGTTTGTCCTTGGGTGGCGGATATATGCCTGGTCACGGCGCCTCTCGGGCCTCTGAAATAATCACGCGATGTGGGGAGAGTGTCTGTAGGGGCTGACGCGGTTCACTGACGCCCAGACGTGGTGCCACTGATTGAGACCGAACCGGATCTCGGTCTCTGCACAGGCACGCCTCCCGTGCCCACATTGCACCAGCGAACGATTCGCCGATCGGCGAGGACGTCGGCGTTATGTGGCGTGGCTCACAACCGGTTAGCGGGTCCGAGTACATAGATTCATGTCTGAACGCTAGTTTTACGGCGTGTCAGTGTGTGTTACTTTCCTCGCGTGTGCCTGGGTGGATTGTTTCCTTACGTTGCTTCTCAATAACTGGTCGTTGAAGTGGTGCCCTTTTCTCAGTGTTTTTCTACAATGTTCTGTTGTTTCCTCTGTGTCTTCACTCTCATACTTCGGACTCCTCCTCTCTCTCTCGTCCCCTTGTGTCTTCTCTCACCCACTCTCCCCTCACCCCGTCTAACCCAGCCTCTCTATCTCCTCAGGAGCGCAGTGGCATGTGCCCGTCGAACGGAGTCAGCCCGCTGGATAACATGCGCACTCTGGAGCACTACCTGAACGACATGGTACGCGGCGCCGGCGGCAGCGGCGACCACGGTGAGTGGCCAGTAGCCTTCAGTGACCGCGGCGTGCCGACAGTGGCCCGCAGGGAGCCGTCTGACTGACCCACACACGGCGGCTGGTTAGCAGAGACGCGGTGGTAGAGGTGCTCCCCCGACAGTGATGCCGCTAATGGCCACTAGAGGGAGAGGTGAACCCGGGGAGGGGTATGGGGGAAAAGGGGACCGTTGAGGCTGGTCAGGGCTGGAAGATTGAATGTAGGTAGGGCACACAACGTTATGTGCTTCTTCCTTGAAATTAATAACAATCTGAGGACTAGATAAATGTATCCAATGGTCACTATCAAAATATACAAATTCGTTTCTTTGCCCGCTCTCAAAATAAGCACGTCCACTTCTTCCTTCTGCGAGTCCGGGTCTAGTTGGAATAACATTTTTAGACTGACAGCCACTGTCGTCCCAGAGAATACAGCTGCAGCGCTATACGAACCTCGCGTCACTGCCAGCGCTTCTGAATCGACGGGCCCTCCCCAATCCCCGCCCTGCCGGACCTCCAGTGACGTCCCTCCAAATATAATGACGTCACTAGAGGGCCGGTTGACGTCACGCAGTAGGACGATCCTGGCGCCCCACTGCGCTCCGATTGTCTCTGTCCGACGCGCCTGCGACTAATGTTTCCGGGCCGCGGTGTGTCCGGCCCGTAGCCTTTGGTGGATGCTATAGTGGCTGGCGTAGTCATTATGAGTCATATAACCCTCTCAGCAATTGCCGACTGAATGGTGATGCAAATCACCAACCCACGATGCAATCTCCGGCGGAGGCGGGCTGAATGTAGGTGCGCCATCTTCGTTCTATTTTTGACGCTCTTGTCACTGGTCTCACAGCAAGTTAGGGCGTGCAGAATGGGCTGCCTAACTTGATCATCCTATGCTAACAAATATACATGATCGTAATGACCCATGACCTCATAAGCATCTCAATAGTTCCCCACCGAAATTCCCCCATATCCCCCTCCAAGCGACCTCCTGCGCCCCACCTCCCGGTGAAATCCCTGCACCTCTGGCCGGTGTCCGAGCCGCTAGAGCTGTATGAGCAAGGCCTGTGGGGACAGCGGCAGCTCCTAATTGGGCCAGATGAGCACCATCAACGCCAGAAGGCGAGCTGGCCTCGCGCGCACTCATTGGCGTGATTAGCAGCGCGGCCCGCGCACCCCAGAGGCCCATACGTGACGCCTGGGCGTGGCGGAGACGCAGGCTGGGCAAGGCGGAGGCGAAGGCGGAGGCGGAGGGAGACTGGATGGGGAGGCCGGACTGCGGTCACGGGGGGTGCTGTTGATGGCCTAGCAGGGACGGTGGTTCTGGTGGTAGCTAGTGTTGGTGCTGGCGGTGCGAATGAGCCTGCTAGATCGTTCAATAACCTAGCGCCTGTTGTTGGACCTCTGGGTGGTGCGCTGCTGCCAGACTCCGCTTTCGCCACCTCCTGAAGCGTCTGCCGGGCCGGCGGGAGGCGGACTGCCTCCTAAGGGAGTCGGCGGAAGTGGATGTAGCGGCGATACGCAGCGGCGCGCTAAACAAAACAGACGAGCCGCCGGAGTCGTGCTAACGAGGTTCTCCGAGACGGGAGGAGGCGGGCGGCAGCGGTGGGCGGCCGGTCGGCGCAGAAAATAGCGCCCAGCTGAGGTGTTGTGTAAATGTTCGGCCGAATAGAGAATGGAGGTGCGAATGTAGCAGAGAGGAGCGTTCCGAGTGGATAGATGTGCTCAGACAGCACTAAGATGGACCCTGGGCGAATGGTGGTCCCTGGGAGGCAGAGCATGCAGGAAAGAGCGCACGGAGCGGTCGCTGCGGCGTCGGACGGTCTGGACGATGTCCGGTCAAACTGGCTTTGAATCTGATTGTGCTGAGTCACGCAACAGCACGAGTGGTATAGCTTCGGTGACAGTAAAGATGATACAGCGCTATTCAATAAGACTATTTTCGGCTGCCTTCTGACATGCAAGTTTGGAAGACGCGATTGTAAGCTTGGTTGGCGCTGCAGCTTTTCTGAGTGATTGCTTGTTGACACTGTGCGATGACGGATTCACTTTCTCCCTCCGGGGATCACAGGGTTGTGTGATGTTGGTCTTTGGTCACCGGAAAGCTGCCTTACTTTGTTGGCGATTTTTTCCAACGACGACTCAAATTGTCGCAGTAACGTAGTCCGTAGATTCTGCTAAGCTAACCATAGATGATGACATTTTTCACGACTACAATACGTCACAATTGCCTTTCGTGCTTATTTGACAATTTAGACATTCCACTTTATTATTCAGAAACATGCTGACTCACATTGAAACATTCAACACGATGATGCCCTGACGACTCAGCGGTGCCTTTCCGCGCTGCCAAATCGTGCGCCATTTCGGCTGCTGCGCCAGCATTTGGCCGTCCGCCCCCGCTGGCCGGGACGGGCCGTGCCGGGGCGCCCTGCTTGGCATGCGGGCAGTAGGCCAGCGGGCTGCCGCCGACGGTGGCGCGCCGCTCCGACACGATCGTTACCGTGTCGACCCCGATGACGACACCGGCATCGGCGCTGCTCTAAAGGCCCCGCCGGCGTCGATGGCGCCCTGCGCCGCGCTTTAGATGCTCCTCGATTTACAGCGAGCTGCGGAATTCGCCTTGTGGCTTGTTGTTTGGGATGGTTTTTCCCTTCCTTCGACCGATTTCTTCGTTTTGTTGCAGGCGGCTGAACAAAGCGTCGATTCCCTGCATTTTATATGTCTGCTCTTTGTTTTAGATCTCTCAAGTTGTGAAGCTCTCTCGAGTTTCTTCAGTTCTGTGGACTGGAGAAACCACCTACGCAACTTTTATAACATTGGCTCGCTCGTACCGTTAGCTCTACTCATCAACCTTGCATATGTAGCCTTGATTGGATCTTTGTCACCAGGCCAGACCTGCCGTTGTTCTACCAGAAACTCATTCGTTCAGTCTTTACCCAGCTACGCAAGATAGTGTAGCGGGCATTTCACAAAACTTTGAAATATTCCGGCGGCCGGCGCAGCACCGCGCTCGTCCGCACATGCTTCAGGCCGCGCTGGTTCGTTGTATGCATGATTTATTTCCAGATTGTGTCCAGTGTTCGCCGGCGATTAGAACTCGACAATTTCCGTCTGTTGGGAGAGATCCGAATCAGCGAGCTCTGCCAGCCTTTGTTCTTGGTCGATCTGCCTGGGGCGCTCGCCGGGCGCTCTACGTTTGGGCTGGAAATCCGGCGCCTCTGAGCGGAACCCACTCAGCTCCTGAGTCGTCTCTGCCGCCGCCGATGGCTGGGCTCTCGAGATTCTCTAATCCGGCCGACGTGGAGCACTCGCTCGCCTCTCCCGCTCCGGCCGTCTTGTCTCGTTCCTTCTCCCCCCGTTCGCCTCGTCTCGCGCTCTATGGCTGCCCGCTGTTGTCGATTTTCTCGCCTTTCCGGCTGCCGCGAGCGGCGGCCGGGCTGTAACTCGCCCCGTGATGAGAGTGGTTACATTGTAACTGGTGGTGAATGGCCTGCTGCAGTGTGGGGGCCACCGGGCTGCCCGGTAGCAGCGCCCTGTTGCAGCGGCTCCAAGTTTTGCCGCTCTGCCGCTCTCACCTCCCGTCCCCTCCCACCTGCCGGCTCTCCCCTCCCTCCTCCCCTGCACCCCTCCCCGGCTCGCGGTGATCCCCCGGTACGTCCGCTCTGCCCTCTGGCCGTCCCCCGGCGATATGTCCGGTCGGCGACGACGACCGTCGACACGGCTGTCGTCGATCGGCCGCAGATCACTCTTCGTCGCCTGCATCGGCCCCGCGGCGCCGGAGCACGTGTGTGCGTTTGGAGGCCTCCCGCAGGGCGCCGCCCCCGCCGAGGAGGCGGTCACCGAACGCCGCCGAAGGGGCATCGACAGGAGGCGGCGGCGTGAGGGCGGGGGCGGGGCGGGGGCGTCGACCGCCCCGGCGGGGGACGCCAGGCGGCCGGCGGGGCACTGGACCCCGCCGCTCAATCGATGGCTACCGCGGCGGCCGCCGCATGGTAACGGCCGAGGTGCAGTGTCCGGCCGACGGACGTTGACACGACGCGGCCGACGCGCGGCAGACGTCGCCGTCCGACGCGCTGAGGAACGGCCGACTCCGACTGACCGAGGGCGGTGACGAAATCCCCACACGCGCCGCCGAGAAGGATTGACTCCCTCACCGGGAAATGAGACAGACAAAGCGAGCTGTCCGTAATGACCGCTGGGGCACGGAAGGTCAGGGCTCCCGGCTCGAAGCGAGGTGGCGGGATTTCAGACGTTTTTCCGAACATGACTTCGCGACGCGTTGATGAGTTGCATAAAGTTGAAATGACTTCTCACCTTCGGATGCCTTTCAGGCCGGTGCTAGGTGAGGTGAAGGGCAGGCGGCTGTTTGTATTGGTGCTGAACCTCCGCGGCTCCTATCGGGTGCCTCTATTGACAGATTTGGTACCGTGATTTAAGACGCTCCACATTATTAAGAGCCTGCTTGGCGGATGAAAGGCAGTTCCATCATAATTATTATGATCGATCCCCTGAAGGCTGACCTGTAGCCAACTATTTCTTCACGGTACGTTCACGATAGAAAGAACTTCGCTGACGGCCTGCCCTGAAGCCTATGGCGTACCTGCCTTTGTTTCTACAGTGATGAGTTTGCATTTTGCCTTTTTGCGGGTTTTGTCCCGTCACCTGTTGTTCCGATGTATTGTCATCGGCGCGTTTTTGTTCCATGACAGAGGCGTGTCTCGATGTTTGCGTTCGGCGCTGAATGGAGGGTCGAGAGGGCGGACCGTGCGGCTATCACGCGGCTGCAGTCACCGCTCGGTTCCTCTCACCGTTGCGGCCACCGCCCGGTACCTCTCACCGCCCTGGCCACCGCCCAGCAGTCACCGCCCGGCCCCCGACGCCGCCGGATGCAATCTACCGCCCACCGTCCTGATGCAACGCCATAGATTCCTACGGCCACCGCCCACTGCCCATCGGCTGTTTGGTGAACTCAGTGGCCCACGATCCTCTCCCGTCGCCGC